GGTCAGTGCTCATATTTCTCTGCGCCCTGCCCAAATCCCTTGGCCCCTCCAAAAGTGCTTTGAGACCTCGTAGGGAACCCAAGAGTTCCGTGGGTGAGAGCAAGGTTTCCACGTCCCTGCACGCCGCATCTGACACACGGAGATGCACCCAGGAGGGAGTGAATGCTCGCCTCCACTGTTGCTGTCCCCACCCCGAGTTCCATGCGCTCATGGAGACCAGTAGAACGGTCTGTTGCCTGTCTCTTTGGCAAAGAGAATTCTTGTGACATTAGACGTTATTAACCGCAAATGGACCCACTTGGGTAGTTCCTCCCTTAGGAGTAACCGCCACCCTATGGCCGCCACCGCCAGATGACCAATGCCTGCTTTCCGGATGGTTCGGTTCTGAGTATCAAGGCAGTTGGTGGACCTGGGAAAACCAGAGCCGAAGGAAACGCTTCGCGGTGTCCTTGGCAAGGAGTCAAGGGAAGCCCTTGAGGTCCTGCCTCCAAATACCATGCTTGTAGCCACCTCGATCGGTTCTTGGATGCCCCCTCCCCCAAAATAGATCTCGTGTAAGGACCTGGGATTAACACGGGGTCCAGAGTCCCCTTCCTTGGCATAAAGGACCACACACCCACCCATCGGACTTTCCTACATGAAGTGCCTGGGCCCAGACACCCATACCCCAGACCGTGATCTGTGAGGCCCGACACTCGCGGTGCTGGCACCGAGTGGGTGAGGCAGTTCCCTCTCTTTGGCGAATGGGGAAGCTCCTAGCTTGATTCCCTGCGTGATCTTGGGGTCCCCAGGCCGTGACCAAGGAGAGGAGAGTGCCTGGCCCTGCCTTGGGGAGGAGGGCCAGCGTGCAGATTTATGACCCTACCGGGTCCCTACGCACCAAAAGCATCTCGAGCCAGACAGTGGAATGTAAGACCCGACCCGGGCCAGAGGAGGAGGCCAGGGTCGGAGGCGGGGCTGAGAGGAGCAGAAATCCGAAGTGGCCCGGTGCCACCGCCCCGGGGTTACCGGTTGCGCGCTGGGGTCCGGATGGTGTGCGTGGCTCTGGTACCACATCTTTGGTCTTGCTGGCGGGCCTGGGCTGCCCTTGGCTGGATGAATCTCTTCAGGATACCCAGCTGCTGATGGGCCAACCTCTGCGGGAGGCTGCGAACGTGGCTGGGCCCAGCGCGGCCTCTCCGGGTTTTAGCGACGCCCGGGCCCGGAGCTGTAGGGTAGCCGGATTTAGGATCTACGGAAACGCGCTCTTAGACTCTACTATGGCTTCTCCACGGGAGGGACGACTCAGCTTTCTCCTGGGATCCCCTTTACTTAAGTCTCCAGTGGAGTCCCACTCCTTGGGAGAGCTGGTTCGGGGCAACGGTTAGAGGGTGGTTTGGGTGTCCTCTCTTAGGAATGGAAACTAGCTTTGTTTCTTTTTCCTTCTTCCCCTGATGGAGGAGTACGGGTGAAACCTGTCCACATCGCTAGCAACTCGGGGTTGTGGATGATGAGGGGGTCAACCTTTCGTGGGGCAGAAATGAGGGAAGGAAAGGAAGCGCGGGGCTCCTTGGAGCTGGACAAAGGCAGGGGAGGCAGCCGCGCTCAAGGTTGGCCTGTCCTCTGATTTTACAACAAAGAGCTTCGAGTTTTGTCCATGGGGACTCGTTCAGACCCGGACTAGGGACCTGGAAGAACACACTAAAAGGCTCAGGAGTGGCCGGGGACGACCATGCCGGACCAGACAGGCCAGCTCGGGTGGGTTGTCCGAGGATTGTGTCCTGGGACTGCGTGGAGGTCCCCCACCCCCAGCTGATTTTCCATCCAGTCAGTACACACACACACACACTCTGCGTCAACACAGTTTTTCTGGACACGGATCCCGACAAGTAAACAAGCAAGAGAGGGATGGGGGATGGGGCGCGGAAGATGGCGTCTGGACCCGTGGTCCGTGCGGTTGTCACCATCTCCGTTTTAGGACGAGCACACCCGGCTTTTGTAGTTAAGGGTGGCTCAGCCCCGGCTGGAGATCATTTCCCCAGACTTAGAGGCTCTCTGAAGCGGTGTGGTGTCGGTGCAACCTCTGCTTCTCTGGAAGTCCCCACGCCCCAACATGGCTCCCGACCGCTGTTACACGTAAGGGGGCACCGGCGTGGAGACCAGGGTCCCCGCCTATCCACCGCACACTTATTCTTGGCAGCCTGGAGAGACGCGGGAGGGACTCAGCCAGCGTTCCCCTGCTCGGGGGCTGGGAATCCGGCGCTACCGGTTCCCCAGGTTCAGCGCACCGGTGGCCCGAAGGCCGAGTGGCAGGCCGAGAAGGGACTCGGAGCGCCGCACATTCCAGGGGGGAGCGGGCCACGTTCCACACCAACCACGACCCTAATGAAACTGGGTCGGTATGCCACGCCGACGGGGCGCACACTTGAAAAATGCAAACGCCATCGGCAAATCCCGGGCAAATTGGAATAATTTTTTATTAGCAGCTAAATGATTTATGGCACAATACCCCGCTGTCACAATTACGGCGTCTTGGAGCATCCAGGGGTGAAAACATTAAACATTTATAAAAACAGGCCTTTGTTTTTTTCTAACCCCGCAAGCCTTTTGCACTATCTCCCATCCCATTTCTCTCAAGATACATATTTTTTCTTGAGCTGTATTAAAATAAGGAAAACATTCTGGATCCCGGGAGGGATGAGGGGGTTGGGAGAGAGATCAGGGCTTGCGCTCTGAATATTGGAGGGGGATGGGGAGTGGGGGAAAGCGGTGGGTCTGAGGCGTGGGAGGGTTTAACTGGGAACCCACAAAGGCCTCTGGATAAGGCTCAAGGGCACTAAGAGCCCCCCCCCCACCCCCTCAGCCCGTTCCTCTCTTGTTTCCAGCAGCCCGCGCAGCTTAACGGCATTTATTTTATTTCTTGCAATCAACCCCCCTCCCCTAAGGCACATAGACACAATACCTCCTTTCTCTAACCCCCCTCTCTCCGTCTTTGCTCCTGGCCGTCCCCGAGCAGCACCGGACGCCTCCGGTCGCCCCTGGCTGGCACTGAGACCCGCACGCCCAGCTCCAAGCGCGCGGACACCGCCGCTCAGTTCCCCTCGGCTCGGGCTATTTTCGTTCTTTTCTCTCCTTCTCACTCCTCCCTCCTCCCTCCACCGAGCTTCAGCTTCCAAAAGAGGGCAGCCTCGAAACCAGCGCAGGAAGCTCCAGGAAGGGCAACTTGAAACTGCCCTCAAGAGGCCGAATTTTTTTCCTTCAAATTTATCCTGGAATTAAATTAGACACCCCCAGTTCTCTCTCGAATCTTCCCCCCCTCTTTTTTCTTTCTAAAAGTGGAGAAAAGAAAATAGAACGGATGAGCGCTAACTAGCTCATTAAAAAAAGACCTCAGAAAAAATTGCCTTAAAATGGATTTTCTTAAAAAAAATAACAGCAGTGTGAAAACGCTGAGTCCGCAGAGCAGGGCTAAAGAGCGGGCTTCTTTTGTTTTAATTAAAATCCTATAACCACGGTTGCTCTCGAGGCAGGATCTGCAAGCTTTCTGCCTTTCCAAGCTTCTTTTCCAGGGTAGGTAATGCCTAGCTGGTCTCGGGCTCTTGTGGGGCTTTCGGAGAGGGTGTGGGGACCCCCTCCCCTTATGACCTGTCCCTTCGGCGAGGACCACACTGCCTGCGTCCCCAGCCAGGTATATCCGCCGTCCACAGTTCCTGGCCGCTCAGCCCCGAAAGTTTTTTTTTTCCCCTTTTCTTTTTTTGCTGAAGGAGCAAAATAAAAGTACAAAGTCTGGGGGATTGGGCTCCCCTCCCCCTCTGGCCGCCGTGGCCAGCCAAGCACTTTTGGGCTTGGCTTGCTTCCTCTGAGCTCAACAGATTTTTTTTCTTCCCTTTCCCGGTCTCGCCCTCCCTGGAGGGGGCGCGGCGGATGGAAAGCGAGAGAGGCCCCCAGCCAAGAGGTTTTTAATATTACACCTTAATAGGTTTCAGAAGGCCCCGTGGAGAAATGCTAATAGGGCTGAAATGTCAGAACCAAGAGGGATTCAGCTCGCGCTCCGCCGATCTAATCCTTTTTTTCTGCTCTGGTTTTTCTTGCGGGGTGGGGTGGAGGGGAAAGGAGGGGCGCCCACGCCAAAAGGGGCTTTGGGGAGGGGCGCGCGGTGCGCACTCGGCCGCAGAGCCCCATAGCCCGGGTTTCTATAGGAACCCTTTTTATAAGATGCAACTCACCGCTGCCGGCCGCCGCGGCCTGTCCAAAATATTAAATAGTAAAGCCTTCTGACACCGCGTTTCAGGGAGGGGACCCGCAGGCTGGGGCAACAGGAAAAAAAAGGCCTTGTCGTCTGCCCACCCCACCCGATCGCGACTGCTGGGGGGCAAGGAATGAATCGCTTCTTTATTTTAAAAGAAAAAAAAAGAAAAAAAAAGCAGGCCTTGTTATTTCGGCGTCTGAACTGCGCGCTGTGGAGTGGCACCCTGGAGAGGGAGCACCGGGCGCGGGCGCAAAGAGCAGCCCGCTCGCTCCCAGCCCTTCCCGGCTAGCTTGTCACCTCCTCCCGCAGGAGGAAGCTGACAGGAGGCCTTGCAGAGCCCGGGATTGCGGCGACAACCATCTTCCTCTATTTTGATCACTCAGCCCAGACGCAGGAGGAGGGGTTGGGATGGGGGGAGGGAGAAAAGGGAGAAGAAGGGGGGGCTGCAGGAGCTGGTGAGGGGGAGGGCTGCCTAGAAACGGCTCGGAAAAATTCTCACCACCAGTTTTGATCATTCAGCCCCGCCGTGGGGAGCCTGGAAACTGCTGGAGCCCCGAGGTCCGTAATTGGTTTTATAGGAATGGCTGAGGGCCAAGGTGTTTACATGCGCGTGATGGGCGGCGCGCGGGGCCAATGCGCTGCGGCCGGGGGCTGGCCCGAAGGGGGGGCGGGCACCCGGGAACAATGCGTGTTTCTTCGCCTGCGAGGCTCCCCTCCCCCAGCCCCCTCCAACCTCCCCCCCTCTGCTTTTTTTTTTTTTTTTTTTTAGATCCAGCGAGAGCAACTTGAAAGGGGGGTTGTGTAATGTACCTTTTCCAATCCCGGGCTGTATATGGAGATTTGGGATTCTTTAAACCGGCGCTACCTGGATTTTATTAAAAAGCGGGGAGCTCGGCGGGAGGAAAGCTGGCTTTTCCGGGGGCTGCGGGAGCGGGGCCGCGGGAGGGCGGAGGAGTTGGCGCGCCGCGCGCCCGGCCCGGGGAGCGGTTTTCTACCAAAAAAAGGAAAGGCGGGCAAAAAGTGTGAGGCGGCTGCGGGTGGCGGAGGGGGAGCGGCGGCCGAGGGATGGCGGGCAGTACAGGCGCCTAGCCGCGCCGGGAATCGCGGCGGTCGCCGGAGTCGCCCTCGGAGCCTGGAGCCCGGAGCCCCGCCGAGCCAGGTACGCTCCGGGCCCCGTTGCTCCCCAAACTTGTGCAGCGCACCCGTCGGGCCCCTTAGGCAGGCAGTCCCCGAAACTGTCGGGGTCCGTAGAAGGGACGCGGAGGGCAGGAACCTGGGGGAGAGGGCGCGCCGCTGCGCCTTGAGCTCCCAGCCTGCAGAGTCGCCGAGGGCGGCGGTTCCCTACTCGGTTCTCGGCAGACGGCGGGCTAGCCGGGGGACGCCGAGACAGTTTCGATTATAGGCTGTTTTTAATTAAAAGCCGGAATTCAGCCATTTTAGCTGCATTTAAGAGGAGCAAAGTAGAGGAGGACGCAGAGGAGCCCCGCAGATGGCCTCGCCAGCTTCTTGGCTATCGCAAAGGTGCTCCATAGGGCTTTACCCCCGACTTCCTTAAAAGTGGGGTGCCTGGGTAGTGCCTTTTTCAAAACGCTGTCCTTAAAGAATATTATCTTTAAGTACATGCGGGAAGCTTCTCTCGTCGTTGAGACACGTATCCCGGGCTGTGGCAATGGTAGATTTTTTTTCAAAACTAAACGCGGATCTGGTAACCAGAGCTTGATGAGGAGCGAGGGAGGGCGAGAGGAGAGGGGGTGTTTGTAACCAAAGCTACGTTAAAATAGGCGTCCTTAGCAAAGTTGGGGGAAGAGGACTTTGGGGTCTGGCGCAGGGCGGCCACCCGGGAGCCCGTGGCTTTGGCTTAGTCCGCGGTTGCTCCAGAGCCCCGGGCCTCCCGGAATCAGGATCTAGAGTTGCCTAGGGCTGGTGGATGGTCTGCGAGGGAAGGGTGGGCTCTCCGAGTCCTCCTCCTGCTCCCCACGGGAACAGGAAAGCGACAGATCTTTTAAACAAACAGCTTAAACTGGAATTAAGAGAGGTTTTTACCCGATGCTGGCGAGGCGCCCCTTTGCTGGCCCGCTCTCCTAAGGTTTTCCTTTGTAGGTTATTTTGGGGGTGTGTGTGTGTCGCAAAGCTAAGAGTAGAAGCCAGATCCTAGGAGCCCCTTCTTTGGTGATCCCCAAATCCTCCACACCAGGCCACGTCTTCCCGGCCTCGGGATTCCCAGGCCCGGGCGTTGAAAATGAAACCAAATCTTGTTTTGAAGGAGTCTTTCCAGTCTGCGGGCGAGAATGCCACGTTTCGGGGACTCGGATTCTGCGATTCCCAGTGGCCCAGCGGGGGCAGCAGGAGGGGGCGGTGATCTTCCATTAGAAATAAGCCTGTTTTTGTATCTGACCTTGGTAAACTACAACAAAAAGCCGCGAAACCGAACACTTTATTATATTATTATTACTATTATTTTTGCGGCTCACAAGGGGATCCAAAACTCAAGGGATAAAAAGAGACGAGGGCCCCAAAAAGGTTAAACATTAAACTTTGCGGATCAGATAGTGGAAAGGTGTTATGGACACATTTCGACCAACTACTCTAAAAGAGTTCGCAGTTTTAAACCCCTAGAGCATGTGACGCCTGGAAATAAAGCACTCTTCTGATGTGGATCTTGCTAGCTGAACGGGCGCGGTCGGCTGAGTGGCCGTCCCTACTTTCGGGAGGACTTAGTCCAGGTTGGGATGCAGCGCGCCGGGGTCGCTTTTCCGAGCCAGACCCCTGGAAACCCCGAGCTGCTGGAGGAAGGACCATAGGTCTTTGCATTTCGCGGAGAGGGGGCGGCTACTCCCGATTATATTTCTGGCCACCAGTTTGGTTCTCTACTCTTCGACCCTGAAGGGCGAGGCGACTTTTCTGAAACTTGTTTTCTTTTTTTTTCTTCCCCCATTTTTCCCTTTCCTCCTCTTCTGTGTCTTCTGCCGCTCTCGTCAAGACGCCGTGTGCGCCTCCTCGCGCATCTCTGCTCGGCCGCCCGGAGGGGACTCATCGCGGGCAGTTCGTGCGCCCCGGGCCGCTGGCCCGTGGTTGAGCGCAAGCCCCGCTGGCCGCCGCCATGCACGCCGCGGAGCGCCCGCCACCCGAGGACACTAGGACTACATCGAGGCCGAACTTTTAAGTCCATCTGAAGCAGGCCAGCGGGCCGGGTGGGGAGGCTGACCGCGGCACTCCCGCGGAGGATGGATGGCCGAGATTTCGGGCCCCAGCGGTCCGTCCACGGCCCCCCGCCGCCGCTGCTGTCCGGCCTGGCCATGGACAGCCACCGCGTGGGTGCGGCCACCGCCGGACGCTTGCCCTCCTCGGGCTTGCCAGGTCCCCTGCCTCCGGGGAAATACATGGCTGGTCTCAACCTGCACCCGCACCCGGGTAAGTGTTGCTCATTGCGCTGGCACCCACCCTCCTGCCTTGAGGGGGATCCTGGGGAGGGAGCCAAGGGCAGACCTTCGAGGCAAGAGCTGAAAGCCTCTATCCTGTTTAACCGGGGTGTACAGGAGGCTCAGCTCCCAGCGCAGAGGTCGGTCCCGAGGCTCTGTGAAAACAGTCTCCGTTTCTGTCCCTGGTGTACCAGATAGTCTCAGTGTCTGCAGAGTCAGAGCCACCCTGGGGGAATCCCAGTCCAAGGGCTCTTTGAGGAAGTGGAGTTTGCAAAATAATAATAAACGTAGGCGAGAAAACAACGTGTCAGCTCCGCATCCCCGGAGACACACGGTTGCAGATTCTTTTCTTGGAGAACTCCCTTCGTTGCATGGATGGGTTTTGGGTTCTGTCCTTTCGTGGAGCCGCGTCCGGGGCGGTTCAACAACTCGGAGTGTGGGTTGTGGGGAATGAAGGAGAATAGCGACCCCAGTTTTAGGAGCCTGATCTGTGGTGAACCCTTAAGATGCTGGGGACCCTGGTTATTTGGGAGAAATGAGTGTACCAAGGTCTGTATAACCCAGCCACCAGTCCAGCAGAGCCCGGGCTGCACTGGAGCTGCACTGGGTATCCTGCGGTGACTGAGAAGGCCCATCCCCTCATCGGTTTCCCCTGGCTACTCGGGGAGCAGAGGGCCAGGCAGGGCCAAGCCAAGCGTTGGCTATCGCGCGCCGGGAGAGAGGGAGCCTGGGATCTGCAGACCTGCTTGGTGGCGGCACCGTGAGCGAGTCCCCTCCTCCCCGGCCGCTCCTCGCTTCTGCGCCTGGCTTAAGAACAACTCCAGCTCTTCCTTTAAAAGCACCACTACCTTGTCGATTTCCCAGGCAGTCTGCTCTTCTTGTCCTTGGAACAAATCTTAGAACAGACACCCTGACGGCCGAGAGCCACCACTTAAGTATCTCCCCCTGCCTACCAGGGTGACCAAGGCTTGCCGATTTAGCTTCTGCCTTTGATTTTTCTCCTGGAACTTTTCTAGAATCGGGAGTCCGGGACTCAGCGGGACAAAGGGCCTTTGTGAAGCGCCTGGCGGGGGAGGGGCGAGCGGAGATCCCGCCGGCGGGGGCGCCGGGACCCGGGTCACCTCCCCGGGTGAGCGCGTGCCCCTTGAGAGCTGGAAGTGCATTCGCACGGGGGTAGTGGTGACAAGACCAGATTCGTACAGGAATGGTGCCCTGTGACCCAAGTGGGGCATCAGAGACCACTCCCAAGGCATGATTTGGGGATGGCTTTGGGATACAAAGGCCATTTGGGCCAACTCCTCTTGAGTCATTGGAGGTTCATGGGTGTGTGAAGTTGCATGCTTTTTGGGGTCCCTGGGTTAGTTGATCTGGCTGGAGGTGGTGGCAGGGGCTCCTCTTGTGGCCTGGGAATCTGATCTGGGGTGTTCCTGGCTGGCTGAGTCTCAGCTTGTCGCCTGCTCCAGGGCTGCCTGGGATCTGGCCCAGACCTGGCTGAAAGCAGCGCCGACAGCCACTCCTTGCAGCCGTTCTAAGTGCACAGCCTTTTCCAACCCTGGTAACAGCATAGTTCGACTGCCTCCCATGCCTAACCTCCCATCTGGTGGATGGGGTGGCCGTGGTGCAGACTAGGAAGTCCAGCTGGAAGCTGCCTTGGAATCCTGTGTCGTGGCCTTCTCTGCTTGGAGCTGTGTGACTTATGCACAGGGTGGCTTGAGGGCGTGGAGGAAATGGAGGGAAAGCCACTGCAGTCCCCCTGAGGCCTCGCTTACCAGAGAGGGAAGAGTGGAGGGCCTCGAAGCCCTCTATTACTTCCTGCTGGCTCCATCTGTACCCGGCTCCAGATGGGGGAGAGAGACCGGACCCCAGGTCAATGCCCAGAGCTGAAGCTACACTTAATCCCATTAAGCACGACATGGGACTGCACCCCATTCAACCCCTAGAGCTGGTGGTGACAGAGACAGAAGACACCTCCCCCTCTCGGCTTTCTTTGCGGGGTGCAGGTGCAAGATCTTTTCCAAGGGCACCACCCTGTGCTTTTTCTGGCTGCCAGCTCCTTAGATCTCGCCAGCCTCCTCAGGGCCATCTTTATTTGCTTACTTTGGTATAAAAAGCCAGAGAAGCTGAGCTGTTTGCCAGGGTCACACAGCCTGGAGGGAAGAGGGTATTTGTTAGCAGTGGGCTGGTCCCATTGGGGGGTGTGGATGTGCCTATGGCTGCCTGGGTGCAGATGCAACTGTGAAAGCCCTCTAGGCAGGGGGAGCTTGGTTTGACAACCTTGAGGAAGGAAGAAGGGCTGTGGAGGGAGGCAAAGCTGTCTGCTCCGACATGGTTTTGACTAAGAGCTCTAGTCCCTCTCTCAGGTGAAATAACATAAAGTGAAAAACCAAAACCAAAAAGAAATGGGGTGCCAAGTATGGAGGCTCACACCCACAATCTCAGTACTCAGAGAGGCAAAGGCAGAAGTGCGTGTTGAACACACTCGAACACACACACACACACACACACACACACACACACACACACACACACACACCGGTTTGGATCAAAGCAAGGGTGGCGGCTCCTTCCTTTTCCTTTGCCGTAAGCCCTGCTGTAGTTTGAGCTGTCACAGCCTGTCAGTGAGATGGACCAGTGTGTGGGAGCTGGGGGCCCTGGGAAGGATGTATCTTTCTGTTAGGGTGCTGTTGGCAAGATCTCACACCTGGCTACTTATTTTCTCTGAACCCACACCCTGGACTGAATGAGGGGTGGGACTCAGATCTGGACACAGGAGGCACTGCACTTTGACCTGGTCCTTTGACAATAGGTAGCTAGCCATGGGCTCCAACTCTGGAATCCACCCGGTTAACCTACTGGGCTGGATTTAGAAAGATTAATCAGGACTGGCTGGTGGAGACAAGGACTCCAGAAGATAAGGGATTTGTTTTTTCTTTCTTTCTTTATCCTTGAACCCTTCCTTCTTTGGTCAGAGGCAGCAAGGGAAGGAAGGCATGGGGAAGGTTCTGGAACCTAGAAGAGCCCCTTCGGTTCCCTGGTTCTTGGAGTGGTCACCTCCTGTTCTTTTTCTTCTCTTTTTACATTTTAAATTTGTGTGCGTGCGTGTGTGCGTACGTGTGTGTGTGTGTGTGTGTGTGTGTGTGTGTGTGTGTACACGTATACCCCACTGCAGAGACCCGAGGAAGACAACTGGCTGGAGTTGATTCTCTCTTAGCCTGTGGGTCCTAGGGTGGAACTCAGGTGTGGCTGTGTGCCACTTTACCCTTTGAGTCATCTGAGTCATCTTATCGGCTCCTTTTGGTGCTTTGGCTACCTAAGCCTTGATTTTCTTCCTTCCTCACTGTTCATTTGCTTAGCAAATGACTTCCAAGCCTTTCCTGCTCGAAAGCTGGGGCCTGGAGCTGAGGCAGGAAGGGCTTTGCTCTTCCTTGGGGCTCACTTTCTAGTGTGGGAGCCAGGCAATGAACGGGAGGAAATCATTGTAAACGGGGACACAGACCATGTAGGAAATAAAACGCCCTGGGTCTGTTCTGGCCCTTGGGGTGAAGGGCCGGGTCAGAGGGCTTGACCTCAGCCATCCCAAGAGTGAACTCTTTTGTGTGTCTGAAGAGCAGAAGGGTTGGTAGAATGCAGAAGCAGAGAGCTTGGTGAGGTATCAAGGGTTTGAGAGCCCTGGGATCAGTCGACCCAGTGGGAGACAGAGTGTATGGGGCGGGGCAGATTTTGCCTGTCCCTGAAGACCAGCAATGAAGTCTTGGAATGTTAAACAGCCGATTTTACCAAACTGGCCTGGACGCTTAAAAAAATGGTATGCAAGGCGAAGGTAGGCAGAGATCGGTGACTGCTTAAGAGACAGCGGGGGGAAAAATGTCCGTGGCTACAGGCAGTGTGCAGCCCGAGATTGAATCTAGGTTTAAGGGAAAAAACTGCTCCAAGGATCATGGAGGCAGTTTGGTGACACTGGAATATGGGCTGTAGATTAGCGGAGCGTGATGAGTCCATGTGTGCTCCTGGACACCAGTAACTGCCTGGGCTGTTTAAGCACTGTGTTTACTCTTTGGGAATTAGGATACTGAAGTATTTAGGGGCAGGGGACCCATGTCTGCCGCTGTCTTTCCAATGGCTGGGGCAGGTGAAAAAAAAAAGACTACTTTGAATTTAAGTGTTCGGGCATGTTTGTGGGGGACAGCAGGTAATGTTAGACAACAAAGAGGTGTGGTGGAGTGAGGTCATCATAGTTACCATAACTATTTCAGACTTAATCTGAATTTGAAATTCTTCCAAAGTAGCTTATAAGGGGGGTGTTTCCCAAAATGGCTTGGTGAGTAAAGGCACTTGTCAATAGACCTGAGTGAGGATCTGAGTTTGATCCCCAGGATCCACATGGTAGAAGGAGAGAATGGATTCTGGAGAGTTTGTCCTCTGAACACACACACACGCACGCACGCACGCACGCACAGAGAAACAGACGGATTTTGGTCAGAGATGTTCATAGAGGATGGAAGGAAGATTGGGGGACAAAATAGAGTAAGGCACTCAAGGCTTTCAGTTTTTTTTTTAACAGAGTCCATTGTGTAGCTCTGGCTGCCTGGACTTCACAGTGTAACCAGGCTGGACTCCATCCATCTCAGGAGATCCATCAACCCCACCTCCTGAGTGCTGGGATTTTAAAGGTGTGTGCCACCATGCTTGACTTTCTTTACTTTTAAGACAGAGTTTTATATAGCCTAGGCTGGTCTGGAATTTATGATTCTCCTGCCTAAGACTCTTGAGTGTTGGGATTTTAGGAGTGTATATGGTAATTGCCTGGGGGTGGTGGGACATTCTTATATTTTGTTGGTGTTGATGACTTTTTTTTTTTGAAGAGAGGGTCTACTGCTGGTGGGTTTCCAATTCACTACATAGCTGAGAATGACTTTGAACTCATGATCTGCCTCAGTGTCCAAGGGTACAGTGTACAAGCTGCTGTCCAACCTGATTTTGCTTCCACCTCAC